CATAAGCAGTGCTTTTTTTTGTAAAAAACAAACAAACAAAAGGTGCTGGAACTCATATATCATACAACCCGCCTTGCCTACTCTACAAGGTTCCATCCAAAAAAGGTGCCGGAACTCCATTCTGAGCGTTCTATGAGAAAAAAAGCCCTGGTCATAAGTCACTTCTTTCAGTGCTGTTGTAACTTTGAACGGTCACTAAACAAACTGTTGTAGGTTGAGGACTATCTGTAGTACCTTTTCTGATGGACAAGATTTTATTAAAAGGCATAATGTTTTTTGTGAGCTACAGCAAATTTCATCAAATGTTCTTCCTCCATACTGTGTCAGTTTAGCCACTCTGATGGCTACCAAATTCGTTCTGATTTTTATTTTTATTTTTATCATAGACTAACACAGTTCTCCAACAATGCCTCTTCTTTTGTGTCACTTTCTCCTATTTACCCTTTTCCACAATTTGAAGGATAAAATTTTTAAGCAGAGAAATTACCAGTACAACTAAAGTTTCTGGTCAGCGTAGATCAAATTGCATTAAAAAAAATGCTTCCTAAGTAAACAACTGATAGTTTTTAACTTTGCTACTCCTGCTCCTTGCCAGGAATTTTCTGCAGCAATTTGCACAGCAGAGGCAAATGGATAGACATAATGTAATTTGACCTTCTGCTTTTCCCCACAGCTACCCATTAAAGAAGGAAAACTTCAGGGTATAAATTGCTAGGTAGAAGCTTCAATTTATAAAATGAGGCTTGACACACACACATGGTTAACCAGTAAAAAAATATGACATTCAGACACTTTCTCTGAAGCCCTTCAGAGCTCCAGGAGGCTTACCCCTTTTTTTCCCAACATCTAATTGATCAACTATCCATTCAGCATTTGCTATTAATTCAGGGTGTGGACTGGAGTGGATGGATGGACCTGACATTTCTGGATAATAGTTGCCCTAAAATAAGGCCTATATAGTGCCTCGTACCATTGGCTTCTTGTTCCTTCTCTTCCTTCTCCTGAAGGTCTCCTCAACATCTGCAGTTGAAAGGTATGACATAGTCTTCTTATGAAAACAGCTTCCTCTCTTTCTCCCAGTATTGTCTCCTTAGTAGTTCCTTGATTAGAGTATTGTTTTCTGCTTGATTCTTTGTCTAGTGTTAATCCCTGCTTATCTGGGTATTGGCTGCTGGAGAAAATGCATTCTGGTTTTTGTTGCTGTTCTTTCTTTCTTAGCTTTTTTATTGTCTCTTTTGAATATGTGTTGATATGGTTTATTTCTAAGCATCTATTCTGATCTGTGTTCCCCAGTGTGTATAGAATATACAGAAAAATAATAAAAAGATAGGGTATAATGTGTACATCCCCAATAATCATTCCCACAAATCTGTCAAGGGTGGGAAACTCTTAAAAGGCTTTCTCCCTTCCCACAGCCTAGAAATGCGTGCCCCTATTTTAAAGAGCACTTAATACATGCCATTAAAATGGTATTTTTATTTGAACCTTGTGTCATGGAACTGTTTCTAAGGATTATCATGCTTTGAAATGACTTTATCTTGTAGAAATGAGTAGATGTGACACTATGATTTTATATGTTCTAGCCTTAAACATTAAAAAGTTGAGTGTGCTATATATTAATATTCTTCACTGGATTTTCTTCCTTTTCACTTTATTGTTATAATTGTTATTTCATGATGTTATATTTTATTTTTGTCTATTAAGTTTCCCTATTAAAAAATAAGCCTTAAAAATGCCTTGAAAGTTTATTGTTACAAGGTGGAGGCAGGCATTGGATACATGTAGAGGCACTGGTGACTGGATTGTTTATATTTTTATGGTTGCATTTTAACTATGCATCATTATGTATATTGAAAAACAAAAGTATGTTTTAACATCTCTGTTACTTTTTTTACTTGCCATCTTGATCATCATTCATTGACAGAAAATCAAAATGTACCACCTATACAGATCAGAGTTTAAATATATATAAATGTGCATTTGCAAACAATCAAAACTAAAGGATTTATGTTATTTACAACTGACTTCACATGCACCGTGCATGTGTGAAACCAAACCAAATCTATTTCAAATCTAATACTTGTTTCAGTTAATTTTTCAAGAAATCATCATCTGCCACCTACAAATTAAGAAAGTGTCATGGTTCTGACAGATGAAACTGTTCAAAGAACTTTGAGGCATTGTTTACCTTAAAGAATATTTATTCAAGAAACATAAAATCGGCACTAACATAGTCAAAACCAAAAACTGAATCCCAACTTCTTGAGCACATAATATCAAAGCACAATTCCCTCCTCCAATTAACTGTCATAAATCACATTCCCCAATTAGTTTAAAATGTGGGCTTTCCCTCCAGCTCTCCAGCCCAAATCTTATCATCTCTTATTTCAACAACCTTTGTCCATTATTATTATGTCTAGCTGAACTCTCATGCACATCTCCCCTCCCCAGCATCATCTAACTCTAAAAGCAAAAATAAGAAAATGGCTACATCTCCATCTGTTGTCAAAGCCAAAACATCTGACTTAGCAGCGTTGACAGAAGGAACAAATCTTATTCCCATAACTATGATCTAAAATTGATCTTGATTAATCTATTAAGCATTACTTCACATTCTCAACTGTTTTTTTATTTTGTTTTGTTTATCGATTTCATAGAGATCTCTATCCAACAAGAGTTAGCCCTAACTAATTATAGTTAAAAATAATATAAGTTATTCAAGACTAATTTAAAGCGCACAACCTTAAGCAGAACATAGAAATGATCTTTTTTCCCCTCTAATCAGTGACAAAAGAGACCACCCTTAAAACTCACCAAGTAAAACTATAATGTTCAAATTCTCAGCTATATAGTAGTAAATGTATTATTTGGAGCTAAATTGGTAATTAGGTTTTCCATTCAGTTTTCCATTCTTTGAAGAGCACAAACAGAATATACATGAATTTATCAGGCATAGGTCACTTTTTTCAAATGTACAAAATTATAGCTACATGTAGTTTTGTGGAAACTTGTTTCCTGAAATAAATTTAGGGAGGATATCAGAATGAGACAAATATAAAGGATTTAATTTCCAAAAGCTATTAAAAACACATCTTAGTGAAATGTGTGTTTGAAGTTCAAATGAAAGACTATATATCTGAATGAACTAATCCTCAGGAGAACTCATGACACCTGTCATGCACTGTAAAGGTTTATCAATGTTTTCTTCTGCAAAGTCAACTACAAACATCGTAAGACTTTCTGTAAATATATCTTCTGGCCTTTTTGTTTGAGCAGAAATATTGAATTTCCCATATTAGGGTTATAAACCGGAGAAGATTATTTTAGAATCTTTTAAAAAATATTTGATTAATAGACTTCCACTTTTGCCATGGGATCAAGTTTCAATCATTGTTTTAAATGTTTGAAAATATTTGAATTGTGAATGCCAGAATGGCTAGAAAAGTTTTTTCCATGCATATTATTTACACACACACAAACCATTTTGGCAATAAGGACATAATGTCCCATGACACAAGGAACTGAGTCTCTAAGACCAGTACAGTATACATAAATTATTTGCTTCTCATAAAAAAGGTACTAAAATGTATGCAACAGTATTGCTATAAATGTTAAAAGAATAGAGTTTTTTTTTTAATGCATGAAAGGATTGTATTATAACCTACAGAGCTGTGGAATTTCAAGCTTTAATTGAATGCATACATTAACTATGAAAGAAATTCTGCAATACAAATTTTATAACTTTGCTTTTTCATGATTTAAAGGAACCTAGGTGTTTGTATGTGTGCATGGGTGAGTGAATTGAAAAGAGACTTTTATTGTGGGTCCCCAATTCTTTGCTTTTCTTTCTTTGTGTGTGTGTATGAAGATGTTGCAGCATTAAAAAAAAAACTGACCTACTTCTTCATCTCTATAACATGCACTCTGGAGGCTTAGAGCCTAGAAGAGATCTGCCATCCCCAATTTAAAATGTGTATGAACTGGCTGCTGTAATTTCTGATATACTCAGTGATGAAATCTTTAACTACTGCACAAACATTAATATAAGTTCCAGTAAAAGTTATAGAAATCCTAAATTCTGACTTGACTTTAAATCATATAAACGCCGCTGGGATAGGAACAATCTATAGAAATATAGAAAAAAAAATACCCTCATCAATCACACAGCACTAAGGAACACTCCAGTACAATTGATTGCAGGTGTTTAAGGTACATCAGGTCAGGAAATAGATAACAGGAATACCTTAACTCTACTTCATTGAGGGAGGCAATCTCTCTCTCTCTCTCCCTCTCTCTCTGAATCTTGAAAGCCTACTTGCATTTCTACTTTCCTTCTTTTTATACTGACAAAGTCAATCTTTAGTTTCTTTCTCATGATTTCTTGTTTTCTCAGTCTAAGTTCGCGTTTTACTAACGGCTGCTAAATACAGCCATTGTTTGCTATGACAATGAACATTGAGGCTTCATGTTCTACTGTGAATGAACCAAAACTAGGAATATCTTTCATTTTGTACATTTGCCAATAGCCTCTGGTAAATGTTGACATTATGATCACAATCCTCTTTAAAGATCTTAGAGACTGGGCCCATGAACAATTATTCCTTAATAGATTGTATAGGGGGAAAAAATCTATTCCTCCTCTTCCTCCTCCTCCTCTGATAATCATACCCACGAAGTATATAAAATGTTGTGTGAACTATATATCTTTATATACCTTTAATATCGCCTATATAAACTCTAGCTCTTTCTTATGTTGTTTTCATTGATACAACAGCAACAATGTATTAGCACATGTGTAATAGCAAATGAATCCCGTAATCTATGAAGTACTACATTTCATGAGCTAACTTTATTTCCTAAATAACTTAGTTCAATATACAAAATCAGTGTTTAAGAATAATGTATTCAACTGTGAACAATTTTTCCTAGACTAAAGCTGGATCACAATGATGAGGGATTTATATACAATTCACGTAAGTATACATAAATAGGTGACTTACTCTTTTCCAAGGCACATCCTGTTGTTGTGTCTCAGGACAGAGGGCTGAAAGAAGAAACAAAAATGTTTTTGCTTTTTAAATATCACTATGGATTTATTTATTTAAAGTATGAGCACTTTTTGGGAAATTTCCCCAAAAATTCTAATACATACATTTTTCAACGAACGCTGTTGAAAGATATTTGATATTAAAATGGATATATTGATAGGGATTCTCTCTTTTCATTTTTCTGGTGTTGTCCTTTAAAAATAATGCACATATTCTGGCCAGCCAATTATATAAGTGGAATTTCAGATTTCTTTTGTGGAATTAACATACAATGAAATTTTGTAACATCCTGTTATGCATTCAAACTGTGCGTGCACTCATGTATTGTAAGATATGTTTCATTGTTCTTTGTAAAAATGTTTTTACATGATTACACTATAAAATACCAATATATGCTACAAAAGCAAATGAGAGAAATAATTGACTTTCTGTTTCAATGTTAAGCTCTTAGAAGATTCTGGATTGGATTTGGACAAAGCGAACAGCATCTAAACAATGCAATTATAATTTCCCAGGAATTAAGACCAGATACAGGTATAAAACAATAGTAGTTTCCAAATCATATGACTGGAACCACTCAGATTTTATACATCTACTTGTGGCAGTGATATGATTTCTACCATTCTTAAGGTAATGGGTTGGGGTCAGTTTCAGATGCAAGTAGCTTTAAGCTCCTTTAGTTTTTGAAAAAGTTTCCAGGATGTTCTAATTAATATCTATGTCAGTAAGAGGTGATCAAGAAATGAAGGAAATAGAAAATGATACTGCCAAGGGTCTATGGAGATTCTCATTCATCCAGGTCATGGTTGTCCCAAAGGTGCTTTTTCAGAAAGCAGCTGGACCTTCTTATTTTTCTTTGAAGACATGAATGGAAGGATTTATATTCTTTGCAGACAGCTGGTCATTTGCATTCTTTTAAAGAGTCGGTGAGGTCACTTGGAGGTTTGTGGAGCCTTCTTGGAACTGCTAAAAGGATTGTGTTGTGGAGCTGTCTTTTCTGCAGGATGTTTTCTTCCCATCTTCAAAGAAAAACAAGACAGTCCAGTTGCCTCTTGAAAAAGCACCTTTGGGACAATCTGGATGATTGAGAATCTCCATAGACATTTAGCTATGCACTTTGGGAGGAACACCCTTCGAATGGTGCAGGAGTATGAATGGATTTACAGATAAATTGCAGACTACAGGAAACATTTCAACTTTATTTTGAGATGCAGGCAACACAGACTCATCCCCAACAGTCTGTGCCTATGTTCAACAGTGAAGGGACACAGGACAGAAAACATCCTAAAGAAAACCACAGTTCCACAACACAGTCCTTTCAGCAGTTCCAAGAAGATTCCACACCCATTTGCATTACTCAGTTGCTACCTACAAAAAAAACCCCAAGTGACTTCAATGACTTTCTAAAAGAATGCAAATGACCAGCTGTCTGCAAGGAATATAAATCCTTCCATTCCCCACCATCCAGTCAGAGCTGAAGAAGCATCTTGGACGAGAAGTGAAATGTCTTAAAGAAAAACCCAAGAAAGTCCAGTTGCTTCTTGAAAAAGCACATTTGGAATGATCCTACCAAGACTGTTGGATGACAGTTCTTTGGATCACATGGCCCATCAAAACCAACTCAGGTTGGATAATGTAATTTGTTGGGATGGAAAAGAAAAGCATTTGATACAGGCATAAAATCCAGTTGAGCAACACATGGTACAAAGACTCGTGGTGGCTAATCTTTACTATCATTTTTAAATGCTTTAAGTCACCCTTCTTATGTTTTATGGCTTTGATTGTGGGAGAGATTTTTTTAAGAAAAGAGATCAATTCAGAAAACTGTCTTTGCAATTCACCTTTAAGTATACTGCCTTGATCTTGTCACTCATCAAAGTGTCAGAATGTCTCTTGCTATTTTTTAAAATCAATATCTATGCAGAATTTATTTAAAATACATTGCATATGCTGCATATATTTTGTTACTCTACTTCAAGATTAAAAATGGGGTGATAGTTCTAGAAAATTAGTTTCCCACATTCCTTTTAAATTAAATCATCTCAGATATTAGCTGAAAGACTAGAGGGCATTATTAAAGTGAAATAGACCTTGCTGAATAGAGGCACTGGGAAGAAAGGAAAGTTAGAAATGGTATACAGACATTTGCACAGGGATATATTAATATAATATTTATCATCAACTATGATAGTAAAATGCAACCATGATGTAACTTTTAATGTTGACTTTTCCCCTAAATCTACAACATAGTAGTTGTGCAACAGTTTATTGGACTGTATATGATGGAAAATATAGTATTAGATTTCCAAATGTTACTAGTATATTGCCAAACCTCATTGTTATCAGATTAGACATACATGTTTAGTGTATTGGGTTAAGAATGAAAATAGATATTTGTAAAAAATAAAAATATCACTGTAGAAATATTGAAAAGTTCATTTGATGCTATTTGCATTATTTGTATTAAGTTTCCATATCACTGTTCCTCTGACAGGTTATAATAGATGCCTATCGGATGGACAGGTAGAGATTTCAAATTTTCTCTCCCAAAAGCCCTTGGAATCTTTACATTCTTGTCTTGCTTCTGGTAGTCACTTGGCAAGTTTCTCTTACTGCTGTCTCTTTTACAGGAAGCACTTTATTTGGTATGCATTTCCTAAAACCAGGGGTAGGCAACCTTGGCTCTTTTATGACTCGTGAACTTCAACTTCCAGAATTCCTGAACCAGCATGATTGGCTCAGGAATTCTGGGAATTGAAGAGCCAAGGTTGTCTACCCCTGCTCTAAACTTTCAATTTTGGGGATTAAAAGTGCAAAACTGGAAAAATTCAGTTCAATAGTACCACACCTGGTTCTATAGCATAGACATGTGATGATTAGAGAATACAGCCCTTCCTCATTTTGAGAAAGAAATCAATTTCACAAGAAATAGAATCAAATTTTATTTTTTTAAATGTAAAAATTATATTTAAATATTTTAGTTTAAATATCAACATGAAAACATTGCATGTTAAAGAAGACATCTAGAGCTGACCAATGAATGCAACAGCTGCTAATGAATAAGCTACAAAATCCAAAAGAAAATATAATTATCTGGATGGAACACAGAATGGTGTTAGCATACTCTAATGGGGATTTGTCTGCATAAAGAGGTTGAGAAGAGATATAGAGATCATAAGATTCTAAAGGAAAAACTGTATGAATAAAGACTGAAATTATATCCAATTTCATAATAGAAAATAAAAATCTAGAACAGTAATTACCTAAACCTAAAGTTTGTGAGAGTTTGGTATAGTGGTTAAAGCATCAGGCTAATAACTAGGACACCACAAGTTCTAGACAGACCTTAGAGAGGTGACCTTGGGCCAATCACTTTTTCTCAGCCCTAGGAATGAGGCAATAGTAAACCACTTCTGAAAAACCTTGCCAAGAAAACTGCAGGAATTTATCCAGGAATCAGGGAAGAAGAGGGGGAAAGCATGTTTCTCTGCTTCAGCTGATTTCCTCAGCTTCTTGAGAGTTCCTCATATTATTCAGAGTTTTCTGGGAGACAGACTACTTCACTTTTTGCTAGTCTCTCTTCATGTAGTTTGGAAAAGTTCTTTTTCTTCTCTTAAAAGAACCAAACTGACTTTGTAGATATACATGAGCTATGTGACACTCATGGAGGTGGGAAGTCTGGTTAGAAGGCTATAGTCACAACAGATCTCAAGGAAACTAACCTTGGCAATTGCTTCTATTTTATGTCCACATTAAAATTTATGCAAGGTTGGTTGGACTGAAAGAAAATGTCTGGCACGGAGTCTTCCAGTGAGGATTCTAAGTGGAAATCTGGATCTTCCCATTCCAAAACTAACATCTTAAACACTCTACATTAACCACTCTGACTTTGGCTTTAGAGAGTTCCAACATATCTGATTGGCAAGATGCTTGGAAAATAAGGGAACAAAAACATCTTCCTATTGCTATGCCTTTCTGATTTCATATATTGAATCCAAAAACAAATTCGTGAAATAGGGATGACATGGAAACTAAGTGAATTTTTATTACTCACAGATACCCATAGCAAAATACCCATAAGAAGCAATACACACTTTCATCATTCTGCATTGTGACCCAAGAAATTAGCTCTCTCACTAACGCATAGAGCAGTGGTTCTCAACCTTTTTAATGCCGCAACCCCCAACCGGTCGTAAGTTGAGGACTAAACCGATTGTAAGTCGAGGACTACCCAATCGGTTGTAAGTCAAGGACTTTCCCTGCCCAGGAGCGCCACGCATGCGTGGTACCGCCCCCTGCGCCGACCGAGGCATAGCTGGCAAGCAGCAGAGACAGAGCAGCCCAACCACTGGCTGGGCCACCAGCTGACCCAGCCCAAGGGAGGTAAGGCACCAGACGGAAAAGGGGAAAAAATGGCAGACAGCCTTGCTTGGCGACCCCCGTGAAATGGTCGATCGACCCCAAATGGGGTCGCGACCCATAGGTTGGGAACCGCTGGCATAGAGGATCAATTAGTATAGGAGAAATCGCCCTTTACCCCAATCCCAAATCCATATCTCAATGCTCTCAGCTAATATTTATTTCCCTAATATGATTTGGATTTGGGTGTATAACCTACTGATCCTTCAGAATGATTAGTGATCACTGACCTTCCTAAAAGTCCTTCAGTTTCAGTGTTCACTAATCTTCCCAGAGATTCTGCCAAGGATTGGCTATGCATGCCAACATGAATAATGCGATAAGAACGGCTTCCCTCTGAGCACAAGATTCAATCTCCCTTCCTCAAGTGGCATCCAGCATGTGCATAACTCTTCCTCCCCATGTTCTTGACTTTTCAGGAGGTTCCCAAAATTGGGTACAACTCTGGTAACTTGAAAATTTTCTAGAATTGATTAATACTTTTGCATATTTCTGCTAATCTCTGAAAGACCCACTAAGCTTCTAGGAACTTTCCATGATGCAAACATAGTTTTATATGCCTTGATATTCCACTCCT